AGAATAAAGCTTAGTAATATAAAAACACATACCACTCAAAAAAAAAACAAAAAAAAAAAAAAAAAAAGACCCAAAAAAAAAAAAAAAAAAAAAAAAAAAAAAAAAATAAATTGATAGTTCTTTTTGATTTTCGAAATAATAATAAGATTATTAGTATATCAATTTAATTGTTTAGAAAAAATTTTGTAACAATCAAAAAGCTATTACATCGAATATTGGATTTGGTTGATAAAGGATTTTTTTTATTAATATATAAAACATAATAGCGATTATTTGATAAAGCATTGAAATTCTAATTATTTTTATTGAAATGATTATGTATTGTGACACATTGTTCTAATTAAAAAATTTATTTAATTCTTGAACATTGCATTTTTGATTTCAATAATGTAAAAAACTATATACATCTTAATAACAAGTCAAAATATGTCAAAATGTGAAAAATTTGTAAAGATATTTGGAATATGGATACTGTATGAATCTTTATCATCTCAATTTTAATTACGTGAAAAATTAAAGAATTTTATTTATTTTTACTGTCTGCTGTATAGTATATAAGTTTAAAAGAAAAATAAATAAATAGAATTAAATCAAAAATGAATTTATTAAAAAGGATTGTAACATGATTTATCAAAATCAATTCCTGTATATTGATTCGTATACAAAATTTTTAAATGCATACTTATATTCAACTTTACAAAACTTCTGGTTCTCTTTGATGATCTAATGATTAATGAATGCGAACTGTCTAAAGAGATTCTTGTTTCAAACGCCTTTTTTATTCGTAGATTGTAGTGAAGAAAAGTTTTTAAGAGATAAGAAAGAAAAAAAGTATATACGATATACTGTATATAATGGTAATAAGAAAATTGCAAAAAAGAAAATTGGAATTGATAAATGGAATTGACAAATGGAATTGACAAGACAGTATTTAATTATCAAATATTTACAAGGGAGAAGAGTTATATCGAAAGTCAAAAGTTTCCAAACATGCAGTATGTACGAATTGGTAACCATACTTAGCAAAGACTAGTATGGTGTGTTACAATCTATCCGTATTATCTTAATGTGTGTACACGAGGATTTTCCTTCTACGCACTAAAAATTATCAAAAAAAAAAAAAATTCGTGCGCTTTACAATGGCGGCATCTACCGACACAGATCGATCTATCATTCCATCACTTCCCTTGGATTGCATAGTTGAAATCTTGGGGCACATTCAAGATGATTCGATGGCTACGACATTGCTTTATTCATACCTTCAGACGAGTCGTCAGTGGGCGAAACTTGTTGTGCCAATGCTTTGGAGGTGCCCCTTTAGACACAATGTCAGCAGTAGAAAATCTTCATACATCATTCGAACAATGGTATCTTGCTTAGCAGACGAGGAGAAACGCCAATGGGTCGATCATGGATTCATCATACCAACGAATCAACAAAAACCCTTATTTAATTATCCATCGTACATTCGAACTTTGGATACCAATTCTTTGCAAGCGTCAGTTTCGCAGTGGTTAAAGATATTCCATAATATTGTGGTACCACACGAAACGGACAAACTTGGTGTCGCAATTAATCTTATCGGTCAATTGATCATCGGCAATTCTAGAGGATTGGAATCTCTCCGATGGGATCATGATTTTAAATATAAAAACAAAGTTGAAGAATTTCGAATCACACCGATTTTGCCAAACATAAGTTCCTACGCCGGAATTGAAACAGCTTTGTCCAGTCTCACAAGGTTTGAAACCCAATGCTGGGATGGACTCGATGAGATTTCGGGAGACATTTTGACATCTGATATCAACAGTATATCTCGTTATTCGCGTAATATTCAACATATAGAAATTGATGTTTATTTGAGACTTTCCGATTACAAACCACTTTGTCAAGCATTTTCCAAGCTCATCGAAGTTCAAGCATCCCTTCGCACAATTGGATTATCAGAATGGTGGGATCATTCGCAAATGACCTCGGTTTATACATCTATTCAAAGTCAGGCACATTCATTAAAATCTTTTCACACCAACAATCTGCGATATGTTCGAAAACTATTACCGGTGTTTAGCGCTTGCGTGAATCTTGTGAATTTGAGTATCACCAACTTTTACGAGATTGAAGATGTTACATCTCTTATCGAAAATATCGCATCTCTACCACCAATCCATGTCAAACATCTCACAGCCAATTATAAAGTACATTTCGAATGTTATCAACAACACTTTTCATCTTTAGTTCAACTCTTGATTCGTTTATCAAACCAAAAGTTAAGGTCTTTAAGCCTAGGGTACATCGACTCGAAGATTATTGAAACCATTAATCAATCTTGCCCCAAAATTTCTTTTCTTTCCTCACACCTCTACACGGAAGATTTTCCACATCTTTGTAAAAACCTTCAAGGCATGACGTCATTAGAACAACTGATCTTGGTGATTAAATCGTGCACTTTTGATGACATGTTACAGTTGGCGTCAGCCTTACCAGTTAATCTGAGACACCTGGGAATTAGGATTTCAACTGCGCCCATTATGATAGGTACTTTGTTGAAAAACATGGTAATATCAATTGAGACATTGGACATATATGACAAGGTCGATGTAGGATTAGCGAAGATTATTGTCGAATTTGCAGAGAAGAGTGGAGGATTGCGAAAACTAGGAATTAAGAATAGGGATACAATGTACGATGAGAATATATTCACAGAGGAAATTGGTGAGAGAGCGGATAAAGTTATTGGACTCATTGGAGAACCAAGCGGCACGATTTTGCGAGATGGAACGATTTTACATCGGAGATAAATATCAGAAAGGTAGTAGTAACGTAGAGAACGAACCCGAGATTTTATCAAGGAAGATTACTTTATTCCTGTCACGTGTCGTCCTATGCCCAGGGAATGATGTATCTTGATTTGACTAATTTTTTCTTCCGTTCAGTGAATAGAAATTTTTCATCGTACGGATAAGTTGTAGTGGACTCGTAATTTAATTCATCCGTTCAACAATGACCAGTGATTTTTTGTGTCAGACATATCGAACGCGGGAGACGCAATCTGAACCTATAGGAGCAACTTTCTTTAAGAATATTGGTTATCTATAAAAATTATATTTTTGCGTCGTGAAGCGATATTACTTTTTCTTACGCGAGTTAGGTCACTAAACTCATGCATTTTCTACTAGTAAGTTATAGAAATTTACTGTTGTTACTATAGTTTATATCACGTCTTTGAAGCTTCATCACCCTGCTAAGCTGATTTAACGAAAAGACCGTCGTAGGCTCCTTATTTATTATCACGTGCGCACGCGAATGCCTTATGAGCATTACCACATAAAATTCTGAAGGTTTCCTCAACTGTGATACTATATAAATAACTAAAGTTGCTGATTATTAATCACATCACGTTTTACAAATGAAGCCTTACTTAAAATTAAGATCAATAGTTTCGCGACTCCGACTTTGATTACTACTCCCTTATGATTCCATGATTCCATTCGAACCTTAATCCACACCAGGTCTTTTTGCACTGAGATTATCAATCACGTGTGAACTTAGTGTAAATAGCAATGATGTCACGTTGGACGTTGAAAGAGAGAGCTTAACGTTTTTTAATCATATAGATAGTACAAAAGATTAAATACATAAGGAAGAAAATGGTGCAGTAGTAATAATTATTGGAGAAGTTGATTTAAGAAAATAAATACATGACGAATTTTGTGTATGGAATTCAAGTTGTGAACGTTGCTTAATCTATTCAACCTTTTCAAAACGTACGCTCAACCATTTGTTTCATTGAACGCTTGCATTGTCATTCAAACTTTCGGAAAAACCGATGATTTCGTCCTTGATCCCTTCACCTCTTCCGGACTCTCATCATTGAAAAACCATTCTCCTAATATTATACCACCCAAGATCACCAGCAACAACACCTCGGGCATCATCTCGAATACATGTGGTATCCATGCATATCGACTTATCATATCCGTTGCGTCTGCAAAAATCATTAACGTTCTATATATAAATTCGATTAATAATAGAATTCCACACATATATAAGAATAAGGCTTTTAGTTGTCGACTTATGGGTGTGCTACCGTACGCCAGCGCGAAGTATGTTACGAAAATCATGTATAAAATTAATGAAGATAGAAATCCGAGAGTTGAAACCATTCTCATGAGTTTTCCGCTATATATGTTATTCGTTTCCGAACTATATTTTTGAATGGCGCCAACTACACCGAATATTGAAAACGCAGGCAATGTGTATTTTATTATTTCGACCATCCGAACTTCCAATAAAACTCCCTTCTCACTTTGTGGTTGACTTATGATCTTTACTGAAGTGGGTGAATTTGTGGTAGATATAATCCAGCTTATTAGAAGGTCATATATTCCAAAGATTATTAAAAAGGTGAATCCAGATAAGACGATCCAGGACATTATAGCTAAACCTTCGGAACCAGGTTTTTGCGACCATGCGATTCGAAGACCGAATGCTATTGTGCGCAGACCGCTGAATGTGAACAAATATAAATATATCCTTCGTCGAAGTTTTATCAATCGGTAAAGGTGAAGAAGAGTTGTGATGAGGAAAAGCAATCCAAAGACTAATGAAAGTGTTGAGGTTGGTATCGATGCATCAGACACTAGCATAGAAATTATCATGATTGTATCTTCAACCTATATTAAACAAGTGCACAATACGAAAAGTTCAACTTATGATGTGGGGAAGGAAATTTTCTTATTTTGAGAGTCCGTGAGCGATAATATTTAAGTGTAACTTCACACTTTCGAACTATTAATTTTGACTTGGGGATCCTAACGCCAGTTACGAAATGATAAGTGCCAAGACCAAAGTTGTTTCTGAAAAAAGAAATCGTGCCAAGAATTTCTCGTGACTAAAGTGTCACATGCTTTCTTGGCAAAATTTAAATGAAGTGCGCCAAGATAATTAGGTGATACACACTCCCTTATGCAGTTAACTGGTTAACCAAAGGTTTCTGATTCTTTGCTCATGCTGCATATATATAAGGGATGGATAAAGGTTTGATTCAGTTCTAAAAAGTTTAGACCAAACGATCTTGTTTTCGTAAAACCGGTTTCGTTTGGATATTCCGTTGGGATTGGTTTTTCAGAAAATTAGACAGTTAATAACTTTTAACTTGTAAATAAAAGAGTTTATATACATATATACAGTATAATGTATTTTTTTAAAAAAATAATTATTGCTTATGTATAAATATTAATCTTAAAAATAAAATTATTCGAATTAAAAAAAAAAAAAAAACTCTTAATTTATTTAAATCGAATATCGATTTTATAATATCATAATTAAATTTTGTTTACCTTATAATCTTTTATTTCGCAAAAGTTTTAAAAAAAAAAATTATACAAAAGTATACGAATTCTTTTTTTTTTAAATAAATATGTTTTTTGAAGATAATTAATTCATTTTATTTTGAATTAATTTTTCTTTTAAAAGATATTATCGAATTATTTAAACATCGAGCTTATTCTATCAAAATTATCAAAATATAAAAAATATATATCACCTATTCAATTAATTCGTTTGTTTACATAATCTCGGTGCACGTGAGTCATTTTATAAAACATAATAGCGATGAGCTAGATAATTTTACTGTTGAATTGATCAATGCAATGACAGAAGCAAAGAAACCAGATCTTTTAACCAGGTTGAAGGTTTATGTCGACGAGGACACAGCGGAACGTGGTTATGTTTATTTTGTGAGTATCTTCGTGCTTGCTTGAACAACACTTTTGCGCCAACAGAGATTTGGAAGACTGATTTCCTGCACTCTTTTATTAGCATCAAAAGGTCGACGTTGAAGTGGATTTGCTTAACCAAATTTTAAAAGTATTTAAACGTTTCATTTTAACTAAAGAAAATACCCAAATCGTCTTACTTAACAATTAATTTCCCATGGCTTAGGGATATACCGAAATATTTATCAAACCACTTCGTTTTGACATCGATGTCATAAGATTATATTGCCGGCAATTTAGTAAGTAATCAGTAGTCATGAGAATTTTTAATGGCAATAAAACTAAAAACGTTTACCATGTCTGAAATTGTAGTCGTCAACGAAATAAAAATCAACAACCACTCAGCAAAGTTTGACATAAATGGATCAGATGATGCTGGCATTTTTGGCGAGATAATTGTGCACATTCCCGACGAAATAACGGATTTTCCTTTGATTAACAATGTAGGTTTTGTTTATCATAAATGTTATTAATAGAATTATTTCGTGATACATAATGAATAGTCAAATGTTCTTTTGATTTTCAAATCAAGTTCTTCAACTTGGTTTTTTATATTAAAATCCTTATAGGATGGAGAATGGGTACCAATAGTGGTCAGAGTCGAATATACCCTGGAGAAGCCAAAAGCTGGAGTTCACTTTAAACTTCCAGATAATGACAAAGAAATTTTTAAACCACAGGTAATTATAGCGTGCACAAAATTATTGTCTATTTGACTACGATTCTAACCTCTATGTACAATTAGTGGGACCCATACATGTTCACAATAAATAGCCCGACACCTGGTGCCGCAAGATGCTGGGTTCCTTGCTTGGATCGCATTCGAGATCGATGTACGTGGGACTTTTTCATAACTGTTTCAGACGTTGAAGGATTTGACAAGATAATGGTGGCTTGTAGCGGAAACCTAGTTAAACTGGTAAACTATATAATCCACCTACATAATTATTTTCTTTTTTTTTTTTTGATATCGTTTGTTTTATTTTCTTATTATGTGTAAATTTAGTCCGAGTCTTCGACGGATTCACACAAGAGAACGTTCCATTATAACTTACCCGTTGCAACTCCCGCACAATATATCGGGTTCGCTTGTGGCCCATTTATTGAACCATATGTACTTGATTATCCCGGTAGCGAAGAAGGGCCTCCTCCAAATAGACCGAAGATTCTGGCATACATATCTGCAGAATGGGAAAAGTGGTTACTGTCAACATTGTATCCTAACGCTGACGAACCTACCGCTGACACCTATTGGCTGCATAATGTTATTAATAGTTTATACTTGATTCATTATAGTTATTATTATTATTTTGAAATATTAATTCGAGTCTTATTTTTTATATTATAACACAGGCAATGGAATATTTTATCGAAGGATATTCTCAGTTTAATTTACACCCAGAGTTCGACAAAAATAATCCACCAGTTAGACCCGGAACTTTTCCGTTTCAACGTTTCCAAATTGTTTTTGTAGACCACACATACTCGGACGTCAATGTATGTGCAGGACTTGTGATTTGTCGGTTTGTAAATTTGAATTGTTCCTAACTATCTTGTAAGCTGTTAGCATATTATCTTATTAATATCACTTTAACAATAATTATCACGGACATCTATTATTTCAAGAATGCACTTGCTGCATAGTCAGTACGTGATCGACCAAAGAGTTACAACAAGGCGTTCCTTGATTACCGCAATAGCGCAGCAATGGTTTGGAATATTCATCCCCCCATATTCATGGTTTGTGATCAATTTAACACGGTTTCATTCGGGTTTATTATTTTTACAATAAATTAATTTCTACGAATTATTGTAAAGGCGAGATTATTGGCTTGCTGTTGGTTTATCTAATTTTTTTGCCAACATGTATTTTGAAAGATTATTTGGAGAAGACGATACGAAATTTTTACGCAAGAAGGTCGGTATCGTTTTTACAAGTTCATTTTATTCATTGAATATTGAACAAACCGTCTGGGATATATGTTCACAGGATATTGAACTCGTATGCCAACTGGATGTAGGCAAGCCACCGCTATGTTCTATGGACTTTACCATACCCTTCGAATCAAAGGACCTCGAATTCATTTCTCTTAAATCCTATCTTGTCCTTTGGATGCTGGATAAACGTCTACCCTTTTTAGATTATCGACGTGGTATTCCTGGTATTATATACCTGATATTAAACAAATCCAAAGAAGATGTAGAACAAAATATTCGACCCGGATTTTTGTATACCGAGCAATTTTTAGAACAATGTAAAGATGTCATTCGCCAAGAATTACGTAGTGAGATTACAAAATTCCAAAAACAATGGATATATGGTTCAGGTTGTCCCAAATTTAAAATCAGAGCACACTTTAACCGGAAAAAGTTGGCAGTCGAATTTAGGTTTGACCAAGAAAATACTAACCGTATTGAGAAGGACAGTTCCAGGCCAACAAATACGCCTCTTTTTACGGTATGAATTTGGTTTAATGAATTCATCCCCATGAGTAAACCAATTCCCGCGATTTCAACTTTATATTTTCAACAGGGTCACATGGACATAGCTATTAAGGAACCCGACGGAGTAGAATATATACATACAATATACATACAAGAGAAAAGGGAAACACACTCATTAATTTATCACACGAAATACAAACGTTCAATGGTGACCGTTAAATATCACATGCACCGTGAAAAGGGTAAATTGGTGGCTCATGCCCCATCTTATTTGAATGATGATGATCCGAGGGAATATCCATTACAATGGGGAATGGATCCCGATTCTGAATCCAGTGATTTGGCGGAGTGGCAAATTAGCGAATGGGTTGAAGAAGAAAAGGCTAGCATCGCTAGGTATTTATATGACAATGAATGTGTATAGTCTCATTTTATTTAATTTCATTAAATGGTCTATTTGTAAATGTATAGGGATTCATGGGAATGGATTAGGGTGGATGATTCATTCAGTTGGGTTGCAGATATTGATTTTGAACAGTTAGATTATATGTGGGCAGCACTATTGGATTCTCAACGCGACATAATTGCCCATTATGAGGTATTTTTTTAAGAAAAATGTTAAACGTGAATCTTGGAAATTAAAACCATTATGAAACATTGGCTAAAGTGCGCATTTTTTATAGGCCGTTCGGGCATTATCCAAAAACCCATCCAAGGCTTGTTCAACGACACTTATGCGTACAGTTCGTGATTGGAGATATTATTATAGAATTAGAATGGAAGCCGCAATAGCAATGGCCAAGGTTTTGTAACTTCTTTTCATGTTTCAAGACTTATTGAAAAATCCATTAATTTCTTTGGTGTATATATATATATTTGTTATGTTAGTGTGCAAATGAAGAGTTGGATTTTATTGGGTCAGAACAGTTAATGAAAATTTATGAAAATGATTATTGCGACTATCGTGATGAGGCCAAGTTTTTGCCTAAACCTAATGATTTTAATGATTGGGAAGAATATTACGTCCAAAAGGTTATTATTATTATTTGTTTATTAAATTTTGTGCTTTGAATCGACGATTAACGGTATACGTATTTTTAATAGACAATTCCATTCGCTCTTTCATGTGTACGTGGAGCTATGGGAAATGCACCAGATAATATAAAAAAATTCTTATTAGATCTTTTGAGCTGGAACGATAATTCAAAAAATGAGGTTATTATCTTCATGATTTGTAAACTGCTAAGGTCATTAAGTTCTAATGACGTTTCATGTCAATGTTTAGTATTCGGACGATCATTTTGTTGCCAATCTTATAGAATCGTTAGGAAATGCCTTCATTATTCCATTTGATGGTCAGAGTCCGAATAATCCGAATGTAGAAACATTTGATTTATATTGCGAATCGCTAGCGTATTCACAAGAAGTATTGGAAACGTTAGATAGGTATTTAACACGACATAAGCTTTTTAACTCGTATCGTGCGCTACTTGTCGTAGCCACTATTAAGGTAACAAGATCCTATCTTCACAATGAATGTACACTAGTTGATAATATGTTATTAACTTATGTAATTTATGCGTGTTAATAGACCAAGAATTGCTTGATGTTAAGCCAAATAATCCCAGCTGATGGACGCGAACTTTTGCTTCAATCACAGTAGGTTTTTATGACATTTTCGCTTATTAATTATAATATTTTAAATGTATTCTTGCTTCATATTTAAATAGATATGGCAACTATGTAGGAGTTCGGGTTGCCGCGTTGAGCGCGTTAATCGATTTGGAATTTCATCATAAACCTGAGATAGCACAATATTTCACGTTTCTTGCTGAGTATGACTCTGATCTAATGGTTAGGCGCTTTCTTATTAGCAAGTTTGGTGAAGATAGGGGTCCACAATGTTGGGATCTTCCAAAGAGAAACGCTCCGTTACGTTTATTGAGGGTACATTATAGACGATCCATCCCTGGTAATTTCAATCACACAAATGAAATCACGCGCGTTAAACCAGACGTCTCGGTTCTTACGGGCATCGTCAACGAAAATAAAGGTACATCTGCAATTCAAGAGGCCGGCTCGGATGTTGAGGTTCATGAAAATGGAGAGGATATGCCCTTAGCTCTTAGAGGTCATCAGTCAAAGCTCAAGAAAAAATCCAGTCCACCGAGTAACCAAAATATTATTTCTGATGCACATTTATCAGAAGTTAAAAATGTCGTGGAGTTGAAGAATGCAGATTCGGATGACGAAATTGAAGTGGAAATTGATATTCCTGAAACACGTACAAGGAGGTCGTCAAAACTAAAAAAAGCCACAATTAAAGAAACAAAACATAAGAAGAGGGGTAGTATTACTGAAACCTCGGCTGCATATCAAACTGGGGTGGATTCTGAAGGCCGCAAAAAAGCCAAAGTTAATAAAGTAAAAAAGTCTGACGGACATTCCGAAAAACATAAAAAAATTAAACTCAGTAAGTCTTAAGTTCGCAGGAAGTGCGTAGTCACATGTAATGTTTTAATAGTTTTATATAAAATATTTTATAGGCATTAAATAAATGCATTTTGTATATAAATAATTGTCTTTTTTGAAATTAATCTTTCTCATATTAACAATTTGAATGCGTATGCTTTAATACGAAAAAATTTGAATTTGATTCTTTTGATTGTTCAAAATAATCATGTTTATTAATTTATTTTTTAAGATATAAGTTTTAAAATCCAAGTATAATACTTATTTCGGTTATATAATTAGTTAATGCTACTTTGGTATCAATTAAAATATTAGAGATTATATTAAAAAATTAACATAAAAAATACTTTATTTAAAAGCTAAACATCTACTTATCTACTTTTATTAATTATATCAGATTACAACATTGCTTTATTAATTTTATTCAGTTATTTAAATATATATAAATAAAAATATACAATTGAAAAAGAATCATATCTTATTTAAATAAGTTAGAAGTTGGTAAAATTTATAAAAACTAATGATATTTAGATAGTAATATGCCGAATCATGCAATTTAAAAAAAACCAAATTTTTATTTCATATCATATTTTCAACTCATGCAGTTATGAAAACAAAGAAAATTCAATATTAATATATTTTTTCTAATAAATGTTTCAAAGTTGTAATTTTTGATAACATAATCTAAAAGTTTTTAAAACCAAATAAAATATAACTCTAACATTTTCTAATAAATACTTCAAAGAATTTTCTATTAACTTAAGCTATCTAATTTAAAACAAAACTATTAAGATAAATATAATTTCTATATACAGTATAAGTTATAATTTTTTGAAATTTTTTGAAATTTAAATTTTATTTTATAATTAAATAAGAAAAAATCATTAAAATTAAAATCTTATTTTATAATTAAATAAAAAAAAATCATTAAAATTTTATTCAAATATACAGTACTGTACTTTAAACTTAAAAATAAAATGATATAAATTTTATTAAAAAAATTTTTTTTTCTAAATCATTACAAATATATTTTTTAATTTTTATATAAACAATTGTTTTTATAATATAAAAAAAAACTACAAATATAATATTTAAAAAAAACTCTTTCCCACTCCTTCTTTTGTGCTTAAAAATTTTCTTTTTAGGAAATTTTTGAGTTATTTACTTTTTTTTTGTTCTTCTTTTCCCCTTCCCTATATTTTTTTATTCCCTTTTTTTATTCTTTTCTCTCTTTCTTCAAAACATTCTCCTTTTCACTTTACTTTCTTCTTTTTTTTCTTTTTTTTTTTTTGCCAAAGCTAGGTTTTCTCTTTTTCCTAAAGGTTTTTTTTCCTAGGCCTTTCTTTTTTTTACAAAAACTACTCCATAACATCAACCCTCTGGCCAATTGACTCTTTTCTTTTAAGAGTTATATTAGGAATCAATAATTTTTCTCAAGATGTGGATTTTGGAATTTTTTTCTTTTCATGACTTTACAGAAAAAAGATAAAATATTTACATTCTTTAAAAAATCGACATAATTATAATTACCAAATCTGGTGTTGTTTACTTGCTAATAATTAGATTAGATATATCTAAAAAACTGATATATAACTATTATTATTCAAAACCTCTAAGAAGTTGTATTCCACAATATCTAGAGTAATATAGTAACTAATACCAATGCAACCAGTCTACTTGTAGGTATTATGTTAGTAATTAGATAGTATAATAGAATAATACATGAAAACTAAAAATTCTAGTTACTCTTACAACATAAGCTGATAATGATAATGAAAGTTCTTCACTCATCCCTCCAACAATACAGGTTTCAGTATACAATATTAGATAATAACATCTATAAAAAATTCCAATTTCATCACATCTGACAATTTTTCTTAACAATTATCAATACATATTCAATATTTCTTCTCCATTTTCCTTCACCTTATACTTGTACTGAGTCTTATTTAAATATTTAAGTAGTGTGATTATATGTATAAAGTTTCTTGTGAAAAATAACTGTTTCTTTTCCTACTTGTCACAGGTATAGACAACTGTTACAAACTTGAGTAACCTATAACTTGCTCCAATCCTAGAAAGGTAAAGAAGATCAAATATTAAATGGTTAGAATAAAGACTAGTCTTTATTAGATATCCTAGTCAGGATAATGACTATTTAGCTATTTAAACAAGTTATTCAAGTGAAGTTTAAATAAAACACATTCTTTATTTGCTATATATCAAGTTATATTTAAAAAGCAAATGTGTCAATCTTAATCATAACTTGAAAACCAACCTGTATATAATGGCTGCAATACCTTTATATGATTAAGTAATCAAAATTCTTTAAATAACTAAATACTATTTAAGGCTTAATATAGGTTTTAAATTTTATTTTTCTATATTCTTGAGTAGTGCTAAGGAGTTTAAGTGAAAGGGACACATATAATAAATCTGGCATTTAACTTTTCCTAATAAAAAGAAACATATTTTTAAGATTTAAAAAAGTGTATTAAATCTAAATAACTATTCAATTATTGACTATTATATAAATATTGA